AAACCTTTAACACATTCACGACGGCGCCCCTTTTCCACTTTCGGTCGCGTGGGACGGACGCGATTTTGTGGGCGCCGCCGCCTAACCTCACATCCGCGGATTTTGTACTGTAAATGAACAAAAACATGAATGTCACAAAATAATTTGTGCAATGTCCAATGCGTAAAGATTATCTAAACATATAACAGTAGGATTTCGATCAAAACGACGAATAGTGGTACGAAAAGAGAGCATTTATTCACTTTCCCCGTGAAGGAATTTAAAAGCATTTTACACTCGATTACGAGATTTACCCACCTATCTGTCCATTCCTAGCGCCTGGCAAGCGATTATCAGGCAGCCCATATGGGCTGCCATCGTCCCAGGAGCGCATGTTGTTGGCAGCCCATATGGGCGGCCATCGGCGTGAATGTGTTAAATGCAATTTCGCCATGCCACATGGTTCTGCAGCGGCAGCCGGGTGACGGGAAAGGGGACGGGAGGGAGAAGGAAGTCCTTCTGCCATTAAACTTGAATTCCAAGTCAGTGTTAAGGTTCACTTCTGGGCGGTCATGCAGACTGCCCCTGTCCAGCTGAAGGTACGAGAGCAGCGTCTACGATGGTATGGGCATGTGCTAAGGAGGCCACAGGATCATCCGATAAGAACAGCGATGGACTTCGAAGTGCAAGGCAAGCGACCGCGAGGAGCCCCAAAGAAGAGGTGGAGAGACGTGATCAAGAAGGATCTAAGTGAAGTCATGGCCACAGCAGAGGACGCCCTGGACAGACTAAAGTGGCGACGACTGACAAAGACAGCGGACCCTGCGACTGCGCGGGACTAACGCTAGGGAGAAGAAGAAGAAGAAAACCTTTTTCACGTGCAAAAGCTACATTTTGGAACACAAGGTAGAGTCGTGACTACAAAGCGAACCTCTAAGAGCTTACTCTATCAAACGTGGCTTTTCTTACCAGCGTCAAATATTTTGCACATCACACGTCACCCTCTCCTTTAACAGACGCTGCTCCGAATAAGTAATCTTGAGAAATTCTCAGAATCAACTGCGATGTATTTTAAATTTTAACATGAAAGTTAGTAGTTATGCAGCGTCTAGTTGATTTGAAGTTACGTAAAACCCACCTTGGTTTACACGTAGCAATTCAAACTACGTGTTTTGATTAATCTGCACTGGTGAGGTCACTATTGACCAACTAATACTCTCCAGAATTCCATTTCAGTGTGCAGCCGAAGTACAAAAATCGAACATTTTTCTTATCTGGAGAATCGTACGCGGGGATTTACATCCCAATGTTATCACAGTTGCTTGTTCAAGGCATCAACGACGGAACTTTCCCAAACAAGAATTTCCAGGTAAGAAATCGCCAAACAACCCCTATGGAGTTTAATTCCCATACATGTACAGGTTTCAGGGAGCCGCTATTGGTAACGGCTTCATGAACGTCAAGTATTTGTTGAACTCTCTTGTATTGTGGAGCGCATATCACGGCCGAGTTTCTCTCGAGTCAGTTCATATTTTCTCACAAATTCGGGATATTTCTATAGCTATAATGGCTGGTGTGAGGGTATTGAAAGAGCATTCCACGAGAACATGGAAGTGGATATCGAACATGCGGAATTGTACCACTGAAAGGGAGGCAATGTCCCCGGCTTGGCGCAGAGGCCCACATTTCACCACGCCCGCGCCTCCCTAGCTCGTCTTCTAATTGCTTAATGTAATCCCCCGAGGGCTGTCTACGACTCACTGAAATGGCCATACCCTGGCAGATGGGCTCTAGACTACCGTTCTAGCGTGGACTCTTAGCAGAGAAGAGGCAGATCGCGTAACACGTTTAATGACGGCCCTACTCCACAAGATATAATTCAGCCACTAACTTCAGAAGATAAGCTGAAATACAAGGAGGACATTCTGCGATCAAGGGAAGGTTTATCGTTCAAAATGACGAGCATCGCTAGTCTTATCATTCGAATTTGTAGGAGTCAGGATTATTCAGTAAAAGCATAAAGAAAACCTAGAAAAAATAGTAGCTAAGGGCCACGCGACTTTCTTCTTTTTTTTAGTGACTGGAATTATATCAAAACTCATTGCACAAATGGCGAGACCGACATGGATAATGCCGACTTCACGCGATTCATGGTTTCATCGGTAATGCGTATTTTGACAAAATAATGAAATTTCGAATCCGTATATGTGTCCATTAAAGGTAAACTCCGGGATTGAACTAGTGCTATCAGCGCTCTGTAGTGATACCTTAGCTGCGGAACGACCTGAAAGTGGGAAGGAAAGCAAGAGAAATCTTTGCGAACGCTGAAACTAAGGTCTTACCCTTTAACAGGGTCGGATGTGGTACGATGTCGAGAAAGGGCGGTCAAAGAAGACAAAATACGCGAGCACGTCGTCGTTTGAGAGAGCACGCTGATCTCTACATCAATGCACGCTGATCTCACCACCTCTCGCGGTGGGTGGGGAGCGTTGTCGATGGTTGCCGGCCCGTAAGGAATAGCGCCCTAACCGCGCAATTTTCGCGACGAAGCTGGAGTGATCTAGGTAGTTACAGACCTTGCAATTTCCCTAGTGGTATCCCTCCTACTAGTCGGGCCAATTCCCGGGGTTTGCCTTCTGAACATGAAGAACCTGAAAATCAGTGTCTTATTAGTTCAGGCGCCGTCATTAGCAGCAACGGTGTTTTCGTAAGTCAGCGCATTAACAAGGGTATAGTAAGAATTTCAGTTTTGGAAACCTGTTAATGTCAGTGAGCAGTTGATACTTGTAAATTATATAAACTGGTAACTATTGGTGGACCTCCTGAGTCTCATGGTGGTGGAAGGGGGAGGGAGTGGGGAAGTCGCGAAAAATTCCCAAAAAATACCAATTGACCCTGACGGGGGTTGGCAAAATTTTTGAAATTAGTCCAACGTGACGGTTGACCGTGGCCAAAGCTAAAGTTAAAGAAGCGATTTAACCAGTTTGCGCTGGGATCGATCCGCAGTCATTTCCCTGAATATTATCTTCATTTTATGATTTACTAGTCATTTACATTTTTATGCTCTTATATTGTTGAATTGTGGTTTACATCTTGGAATAGCTGGCTCATGGTTAGCACTACAAAAAAAAAACTTACAGAAAGGAAATGGCATCGACTTCAATGGAGAGATAATTCGCACTTGCGTCAACTGGCTTGATGCCATTATACTATGCCAGACCAAGTAAGACTTGACAATTTTTATATTGCTTTCGCGGGGGAGGGTGGGGAAAGTTGAAACAACATTTTAGTGAAACTCCTTCATTCGTTATCTATGAGTAACCTTTTTCTCCATTGCAGGATGTTCCCATACAACTACTATCAAGACTGCTATGATAGCGCACTGATCGAGTCACCAGTCCAGCCTCCTCCACGATCGCGAGCGGATTTCCAGGGAACGTCATATATTTCGGACAATACTGCGGTCAGTTGCAGATATGGGACCGTATTATATTTTTGCGAGTCCAAGTCGTGGTCACCCTAGATTTTGAATGTACGATCAGAGCTATTTATGTACGGATATGTTCCATGTCTGGTCTGACTAGAAGTCTCCCAAGTAATGGTGGCCAAGTCGAAAAAGTCGCTACCTGTTCGCTTTTAGCTGAATTTTTTTATTTTTTTTATTTTTTTATTCGGATTTTATTCCAAAATATGTTTACAAACAAGGTCGATATATAATGATTTATGCGGCAGCAACACTCAATTTTGGGGCTGTCGATGGACTAAAGGGTGGAATTTTTCGAGCGACCACTCATTAGTTCACATTCTCCAATCAAGATTGCTAGTCGTTCTCGAGGTGAGCCTAGTTGTCAGCGCAGAGAGGCTAAAGTAGTTAGAGCGCCACCACACCCTAATAGCGAGGAAGAGTGGTGGGGGGACTAGGATCCTCCGTAATTTGGCAAACTCATATTTCTCAAAGACAATCTGTAGTCGCATGTTAGAAAACTAAAACTGCAAGCATGAACCCCTCCTCGACTCCCGGAAATCAGTTGTACCAAGCGCGTATTCAAAGCCGAGTGGAATTCAAACAAAAATGGAGAGTTCGATCCGGGAGAAAAAATATCGGTATATTTGTTTGGGCTTCATCGAGTTTCAATTTCCAGAACCTCATCAACTACATCTCAACTGATAGCCAGTGGGGTTATCCATGTTGGAACGAAATAGCTTTGATGAATTATTCGAACAGAAGGGACGTTCAGGTAAAACTTTTCCACAAGTTTCATATAACAACGTAATTATTCGGATATTCAGGATGCGCTGCATATTCCGGACGCTTGGAGAAAACAGGCAAACGGCAATTACTCCTGGACAGATTGCAAGTGTGTTTGATCTCAACTTAAAGGCACGCTCCGCGATTAGGCGGGCTCGCCTGTTCCATCCAGGGGGTAGTAGGCAGGTGGACAAGTGTTGATGTCGCGCCCTTTTGCCGCTTGAAAGTGCGCGACAAAGGCGCAAAGGAGCTCGTCCGACCCGCAACTCACACCTTCGTCCGCAAGCCCCACCCTCCGCTGTCGGTTGCCACGTGGCGCTGCTTGAAAAGCGCGGGCGCATTTGAGGCAGCGGTCCCAGCGCGATCCAATGTTATTGACACTGGAGCAAGTAGAGTTAGGTTCGTGAAACTCGTCCAATTCGCCTCTTCTCTATCCCAAGGTGGAATGTGGCTGAAATAGGGGAGGTCTCTGTACGGGGCGTAATCGGTGGTTTCGTTTGCTTTCCTTCTCTTTTACAGACCACCTCCCACCTATAGCTTCATAACTGAACGCTTTTCCACACCTATTTTATCCCGAATCTTGTTCTTATTCTTTATTCTCAAACTAATTGGGTTGGAGCATAATATCGTAGCGCTTGCATTTTTCATTTCTTCACACAAACATTTGAAGCAAAAAATAAAAACATAAAACTAATCAGTGATGTTCACTTCGTCATTATTTACAACTTTGATTGCATTTCGCAGGAGATCACCGGATATAGAATTTAAAAAAATATTGAGCTCGTTTTCGGAGTCCTTATATTCTCAATTTGTAAAACGAAACTGAGTATCGTCTTCAATTTGAACGGAAAATGAAGGTCGGTAGGCTCGGTTAGAGCAAGGTTCTATTAGAACAATGGATTTCTGAAGAACTTCCAATTTGGCGTTTTTCTTCTTTATTTAAACCGAAGAATAGCAGCTGTCGAAACGCCGATTTTCGCCGTCTGGATTTTCCAACTTCTAAGCTCTATACCTGAGTACAGTTACAATTTGAAGAAATAACAACTATGGTTTGTAGAGCGAGAAGAGTACTTTCAAATAATATAACGCTCATGATTACCTATTAGCGAGTAACCCAATTAATTTTTAACTACACTACTCTTTGCGGCATATTCTCTGAACTGTACAAATGAAATAGTAATCAAGATCTTGAGTAGGCAGGTACTCAAATAAAATACTGGAGCCGTGGGTTGAGGTGACCCTCATAGTCTTACCTCTCTCTTTACAGATCCAGGCGGGGCGACGGACTTTTGGCTCGTCCGGGTTGGCACGCGGCAAATTGCGCGGCGGGCGGCGCGGCGATCCCGACGCATCGCGGGAATTCAACACGTCAACGTGTGAAGATTGCGGATAAAATCCGCAAGGTTCTGCAATTCGAAATGCATCTGAACGGCTGGAATTTTGAGGACAGCGGTGGTTGTAGCAATAGGAAGAGATGAGAAGGAATAGCATAGTGCTGTTAGCCGGACGGAGGATGTGAGTGAGACAATTACTGTGTTTGGGACCGAGACTTAGGGAGGAGAATTGATTCTGGGTGATAAGAGCTACCCTAGGACCAAGCCCAGCAGAAGGGTTCCCTGGCGTTCTTCCCTCTGCTGGGCTTAGTCCTAGTGTCACCTACCATCGACCCTGTTGTTGTTGTTTTGAATGTTTCTCCTTTGGACGTGAGCGCCTCGATCAGCAAAACATATATAGTTGACATTAAACCTCAACAAGAACTCCCAATTTTAGTGACTCTTATTTGCTTTGATGGTAGTAGTTACATTTACATGAGGGTCCTCACTCATCTCTTGCGCTGAAATCTCCTCACCGATACTGCTGCCTCCAATCCCCGTGAGCGGAAAGATTTTCAAACAGCAGAACCATGCGGAGTTTATTCGCAATCTGCACACGCATTAACGTGTTGAATTCTACCCGAAGAACCCGCGAAGCCTTGTCCCGTCCAGATCGCCGCGCGTGCCGCCGCGCAACTCGCCGCGTGCCAGTCCGGACGAGCCAAAAGTCCCGCACCCGTTCCAGGTATCTCGTAATTTTGAGTCGCACACCCATCCACACTCGCCAACACGCGATAGCAATTTGGTTTCTATTTCTATACATATGTGTGTATTTTAATCAATCCTCAATATATTCCCATCCCAAACACTTACCATTTAACCCAATCAAGGCGAATTTTCGAGCGGCAAGGTACACTATTATCGGTTGCAATTCTCAACTTCAACCATTTGAAGCCAGCAAGATGCAAAGTTTTGAAACTGTTCTTGAAGCGGTACCCCGTGAGCGACATTTTTATCGCTCCTAGGTAGCCCACTACAGGTTTTTCAGCTAGGATTCAAAGAGCAGTTCCGCTTGAACCTTGTTATGAACTTTTAATGGAAAACAAGTTCGCAGATGGGCCACTAGCATTAATTACACCAATAGGTAAAATGAGACTCGCATGGGGGACCATACTACTAAAAAATTTTTCCATCTGCCAATAGGATGAGGGCGCTTCCACGCTGGCCCATGCGTCAATGAACTAGGGCTGCATGAAATAAGATGTTTATGGTTCACGAAGGCAGGGGACAAGGGGATGAAGGGACGTAGACCGAACCTTCTCTGAAAATTTGTGTTGTATCACACATTCACTGTGTATGCGCTGCTGCCTTTGTTTGTTGTTTGCTGCATGTGGGGCTTTACTCATGTAGCAGTTTAATAGGTAACTATTTTAATTCAGTGACAAAATCTACAACAATTACCATATCACTTTCAACACAACGTACGCCTTCTTCGACTATGTTTTAGCAAACGCCAAAACGTGGAAGTTAGTTGTTTGCTGTCAAACTGTGTAGGTAATGTCTTTGTAAATTATGATAAACTCAACTCTGTTCCTACTTTAGACACCAAATTTCCGGTTTTTGATCTATAATGGTGATGTGGATACGGTATGTAACTACCTCGGAGACTCCTGGCACATGAGAGATGTAGCGCAGGCGGCGAAGTTGAAGGTAAGGCATGTCAGCATTTAGCTCCGGCTTCAAAGCCTGCAGTGAAGAACGACGACTTTCAGTTGGTTGAATTTCTGGCGCTATAGCAAGATACGGGGGCATTGTGGCGGCAGCGCATTTAAAGCCGACATGTTCTTTTTGTCAAAAACGGGGCTAGGCGAGGGAGAAGAGACTCCAGAGTGAGTGAGCCATTTTCACTCCCCCAAGTTTCTGACCTCTCCTACGCTTAGCCTTAGAGGATACCTCCGTATATTGCAATAGCGTCAAATTTTCTTATAGTGAAGCTCTTTAATTGCTATGGCTAAGCAGTTTACCCAATATTGTGCCAAAATCCTTTGAAGAACTGGCTTTGCGAGATTTCCATTTTCGAGACGTTACAGAGCTCACCAAGGGATTCGTGGTTCTTTAGTAAGAACAAGCAAGTAGCTGGTTTTTACCAACGATACAACGGAATTGGAGGTGCTGGTACTAACATAACCATTGATGTACTTACTGTCAAGGTAATATTTTGATTTTCTTTCCTCTTAATTTTTATTTTGAATTATAACGCTTTCAGAGACCATGATCAAAATCAAGTCATGAAAATCTTAAACAGGCTATATCTTTCGACTTTTTCAATCCCCCTTTGGGATGCGCCACGCATTCCACCTCCATTTCAGGATCGTAGTGGCGTTTGAATGCGATGTGGCCTATACAATGACTTGCGGGGGCCAGCCGATGTACAAGTCAGTGTTTTTATCCTCCCAGACAAGTCTGGTACCAATTAACCGACCCCGGAAGGGATGGAAACTTGATTAGCCTAGGGTAGATTAGGCCCGAGATTTGGCTCCCAGAGTGCGCGTGGGATGTGGCACTAGTTGCCATTTCACCAGACCTTCCATACTTACAAGGAATGTCCTTCAGGTCGCCATGGCCGTTCTACATGAGATGTATACCACTCTATGCATTCTGACACGCTGA